ATCTCTGGGTTCCACATCTGTCTCTCTAGAAAATTCAAATTGAATCAGTTTTAGTACCACTACTGCAGCCTCCTACATCCGTAACAAGCTATTCTGCAATTGTGACTAGTTAATAATTCTGTTGCTAGTGCAGATTCCAAAGAATCCACCTCCGTAGAACTGTATGACGTTTTGAAAAACGTCACTGCTGCAAGGTGAACGGAAGCACCACAGATGACAGCACGCAGAAAAGGGGAGTTTCCCAAATAGGAAGACGTGCAACTCTAAAGCACTGAGCATCATTCCTGTCTACATTTTTCTTTTTCACTTCACAGCACATACCACCGTATCATCATCTCCAGTTCCATCTCTGGGAGTAAACAAAATTGCGTAATACTTGACTAAGGAAAGAGGACAGGGATGACTGATGATATGCTCCATGGAGAGCTGAGCAGGAACCTGACTTCTGTACTGGTTTGTCTCATTTGAGGGTGGGGGGGAGGGAAGGATGTGACAACACACAGAGCAAAGTTCATGCCAAACATGATAATTGAGTCAAATGAAGTGATCACACTGTGAAAACCACTTCGCTCCTGATCTCAATACTTTTAAGAGGCTCACAAAGTTGTGGAAATAAATATTGCAGCTTTTGGGTTCAAGAACTGTATGATCTGCACATACTAGCTATGAATTTTTGTAATGTTTTCCAGTGACAGTTCCATAAAAATACTGATTGATTTCCTATAAATGTGTGGTTTTGCCAGACAGATAAACCCTCTCTCTATTTCCAGGCAGCTCTAGCGGTAATTATGCTGAGTTTGTCTTTACAATTACAGGGGAAGGGATAATGAAACTTGTTTCAACTGTAACCAGGATATTGCAGTGTGGAGGAGACAAGAACTGCCACGCTCCATTTAACAAGATTCATTCTCCTGAAGAGGTGTGACGATTACACCATATTTTCTGAGATGCCAGTTTATATTTTAGCATGGATCTGCAAAGAGGTATTCTCCTTTTTGCTGAAAACAGCACATCCATTTATTTTTAGCAGAAAGAGATGGAATTTTATATATATATATATATATAAAATGTATAAAGTTTAAGACTCTAACATTGTTGCAGCAAAAAAGTTTAAGGCACATAAAATTATTGGGGATAGGCTATTTATCATGGGAAAGGGTATTAAGGATAGGATTTTAGTATGGGTTGACTTCCAGAAATATGGCAAACTCCTGTCATGCCAAAATAGGTTCCCACATAATCTGTGTTAGAATCTGAATTTTTGTTGCTCAGAACCAGCCACTGACGATGAACAGACAGACACCTGCATTTGCCAAAGGAAAGCATCGCTTCAGCAGAAGAGAATAGGTGATTATTCCCTAGCTCAAGAGACTCACGTAAGGTTGAATTTAAAGTTAAACTGCCAGGTGTTGATGCCGGAAGGATATTCTCCTTTCTCATTTGTGAAAGTCAGACCCAGCTGGATAATTTTCAGAAGGTCAACGTTGCACCGAAGGAGCTGGTATTGATAGTCTATGGAACTGCGGAATTCACCAATCGGCCTTACAACAACTCCAGGAAATTCTGTGTCCTAGGAGAGAAGGGAACATCTTATTTCACCACTTACTCTATTAGGAGTCATTATTATTACTCTACTAGGAGTCTATTCAGTTCCACGCTTGCAGGTCTCAGCACTGCATTCTGTGAATTCTTCTGTAAAAATCACGTATTTTTTCTCCTTTTCCACATTCATACAGATTTTTAAACTGCTACAAGTCAGACACTAAAAAAACCTCTACACAACCTGTTAACTATTGCATTCGCTCATTTATTACAGATATCCTTCCTTGCAATTTTGTTTTATTCCAAAACAAAAATGTTATAAAGTCATCCAATATGCACTACTGTATAATCTAAACATCTCTCTCTCTCAAAGG